TGGTTGTCGGTCGTTGTTGCGTGTAGCTGAGTTCCATGTTCCTGTTCTGAGTTTCTTTGTTTGTCGTTTACTCTGGATTACCTGTTTTGTTTAATTAATAAAGTGCTTGCGATTGGATTCTCTCTGCTTCATTCCTGACCCAACGTTACACTAAGTATATTTTAGTATACTTTAAGTATATGCCTGTGTAGGGACTAATTACATGCTTGATTAGTGATATTAAAGTGTACTTTATTTGTGTTTCAAGTAGCCTACATTACAAATTCATTACGAGTGTCTTCGAAACATACAAGCAATATACCATAAGTGTATTTATATATATTTTTAAAAATATTTATTTTTTGCATTTACGCCTTTTATTAGGATAGGACAATAGCTAGACAGGAAGTGAGGTGGAAGAGAGAGAGAGGAGGGACGGGATCAGGAAAGGTCCACGAGCCGGGACTCCAACTCGGGTCTCCCGAAGCACATGTTGGCGCACTTGCCCACGAGGCTATTGTGGTGTGATATATTTGAGTAAAAAGTATAGGCTCAAATTGCATACTTTGTCTTTAATAACAAATGTAAACTATTAGACAAATACAACTTAGCTATACTTTGTACACAATACTATTGTATACTATAATGTATTTTGAAAGTATACTTTCAATGCATTGTTACAATGATCATTTCCAGCACAGAGTTAAAATATACCTAAAATATATTTTTAATAAAGTGCAAATAAATACACTTTTAAAAAATAAACTGAATTTTCACTTCAAGTGTATTTTTTCTAAAATATATTTTTAGAAAATAAAAAAATACTAAAGTACAATTATTTTAAAGTGTGTTAAAAGTTGTATTGTGAAAATAGGTAAAAGCATGATGCTAATATACTTTTAATATATTTAAAGATAGGCTAGTAAAAGTTTTGTTATATTTGCAATGTACTATTGAAAAAGGGAATATATTTCAAATACAATAAAGTATACATTTTTTCACTAGGGTGTCTATATTAAATTTTGGTAAACTGTTTCCTAATAAAAACAATTAACCTTGGGGAAATGAACTGTTGCGATAAATGTGAAGAAAAAACATGACTCATCTAAAAGGATAAGCATGGAAAGATAAGGCTGAAGAAAGAAGCACAGCTCATGTACTGTACAGTATGTGTCTGGCATATATTATCTCTTTCACTATAGTGCAAACATCATTGAAAGTTTCCTCCATTCAACGGTTCTCCTCTTTGTGTTACAAACCCACACACATGCAGTGAAGGTTGTGCCATTTGCTTGTCTTGAGGTAATTAGTTTTGTATATAAGATCACCCATTGTAGTATTTAGAACATCAAAAAATGCAGTATGTCCTTTCATCTCTATTATAGCTATTTTGTCAAAACCATCGTTAGAATCCGCAGCCTTCAAACCAAATAACATCATTAAGATACTTTGCAGCACATGCAAACGGATACATACGTTTAGATAATGTAGTTATTATGGTCTCCGGCTTGTGGTAGAAGCCTCACACAGCTTGTCTTTTATGAACCTTGCTACTATATTTCTTTTTTCTTTTCTTTTTTACTGCCAGTCCAGTTTTTCCCTTGAGGCTTTCTTGACATAATTTAGCTAACATCCTTCCTTACTGATAATCCCCAGTACATTTCCATTACTGTGATGTAGATGCAAATAGATTCATTCTCTTTTGAGAGAGACTTTTATCCATAGCAACTTGCCTTGCATTCAAACTACACATTTTATCAGTTCATGTATCCGCTTGTAAATACTAGACTCATGCCCTATATGACCATGCTTTACTTTTTGAGCTACAGGAATACAGAATAGTTAGAAAATCCCTTAGTCCAACTCAGAAGTTATTTTACTTTACGTTTTTTGGTTTGAAGAATACATACTAACACTCCCAATGAGGATACAAATCTGTTGTGTAGTGATTGCAAAAACAAGTTGATAGCTTCATTGTTAAATAAAATAAGCACAACATTTTTATTAGTGTGGTATCTGTGTGCATCCCAGTTTGCATCTAGATAGTGATGACTTGTGACAATTAACGATTATTTTGATAATTTATTAACTGGTCAATTGTTACTTTGATTAAATGATCAATTGAAATTTAGGTCTGATTTTATTTTATGTATTGTAAATTTAAAGGAATGTCATAAAATATTAGCATTATTAGCAATAGTCATTATTAGCATTTGCCAGTGCTTGTTCAATGAAGTCTGTGAAGTTTAAAGGTAGGGTATGCAATTTCAGAGTGGCTAGCAATAGCAAGCTAGCTTTGAAAGCATAAGATCCCACCCTCCCTTCAGAGCGTCTCCAAAGCCACACTTCCTCCAAAACACATGAACAAACATATCAGATTTTGCCAAGCATCACAAGACGAGTGACGGCGTTAAATTACATCATGTCTCACAGCACATAACATTACAATAACATTACCTGACTGCTGCAGATTAATTTCGGCGTTAATAGTGTTGACATAGAAACACACAAATCCGAGTCTGAGGACGTCTCGAATTACCATCTTGTAATCACGGTTACTACATGGCGTGAACTTAGCATAAGCTTGTTGTTTTGGTTCAGGAGGAAACCCAACTCTGCATATCCTTACAGAATGCACTCATGACGTGTGATGTCTGCGCGAGCAGGTGTGCGGAGGTATGGGAATACATATGTTGACACTCAGGTAGGACATTTTTGGACCGAATCCAATGATTGGACAAACATTTTTAGTCCTGAGACTTCCACAGAAGATATATGTACATGCTTTAATATTTAGACCACTTCTGTTATTGATTGTTATGAGGGTGTGAAGAGAGTTTCAACCAGTATAACAAAAAAAAAGTGTTTATTAACAAATTGCCTATAGCTACCTACCTTTAATAGAACCTTGCTTGCTGTCAAGATGCAAAATCTAAATATTTAAGTGAATGTCCAACATTTACTGATAATGATATAAAATGTACTGCAAGTTATGTGCTGGGGACATTATACAGCACATGCATCAGTCAAAGCACCTGACTGGGCAAGTTGCAATTTTGTAGTTTCAACATTACAGTGTGTTGTTTTTGTAATCATGTATTACATGATCAATCGATAATGAAATCTATAGTTGATTAATTTCATTATTGATTATTATCGGTTTTATCGATTAGTTGTTGCAGCCTTGTTTGTGATGTTTGGAGTGATATTTGCATGTGATGTGATGATGTTTTGTGGTTTTAAATTATTTCAGTCTGAAAATGAATGACAGCAGACCATATCCATGGAAGTGGGTTTATCACAATCCCCCTTACTCTCATGTCACTCTAAACCCGTAAGACTTTTGTTCACCTTCGGAACACAAATGAAGTTCTTTTTGATGAATTCTGAGAGGTTTCTGTTCCTCCATTGACAGTCTACACAACTACCACTTTGACACTTCAAAAAGTTCATAAAGAGAGTGTAAAACTAATCCATATGAATCAAGCAGTTTAGTTTAAATTTTCTGAGTAGACTTGATTAAATAATAATTCATTACATTTATATAGCGCTTTTCTCGGCACTCAAAGCGCTTTACAGAAGGGGGGAATCTCCTCAACCACCACCAGTGTGCAGCATCCACCTGGATGATGCGACGGCAGCCATAGTGTGCCAGAATGCCCACCACACACCAGCTTACTGGTGGAGAGGAGACAGTGATGAAGCCAATTGGTATATATATATGGGGATTATTAGGAGGCCATGATGTACAGAGGCCACTGGGCAAATTTGGCCAGGATGCCGGGGTTTCACCCCTACTCTTTCGAAGGGGATTTTTTTTGGGGATTTTTTGTGACCACAGAGAGTCAGAGCCTCGGTTTAACGTCTCATCCGAAGGACGGTGCTCTTTGACAGTATAGTGTCCCCATTACCAAACTGGGGCGTTAGGACCCACAGAGACCACAGGGTGAGCGCCCCCTGCTGGCCTCACTAACACCTCTTCCAACAGCAACCTGGTTTTCTCAGAAGGTCTCCCATCCAGGTACTAACCAGGCTCAGCCCTGCTTAGCTTCAGTGGGCAACCAGTCTTGGGCTACAGGGTGATATGGCTGCTGGCGTATAAAAGCATATGATTGCTTTATATGATGAACATTTAATTTAAGCTTTTATTCACATATAACATTATTCAACGCACACATCAGTTATGGTAAATGGAAGCTCATGAATTAGAATTATGGCTGGCCCCTATAGTCGACTAAACTTTAGTCCATTAGAAGAGGCTTAGTCAACCAAAATTGTATTGGTCATTAAGTTGCAGGGGGAAAAAAACTCATGGTGAAGTCACACAGTCTGTGAGGAAGAGATTGTTAATGGCTGTCCTTGTGGTAATTACAGTATGTCAGGCAGGGAATCCAAATGTTTGCCTATCATCTATTGATTTCAAATAAGGCTTTGAGCTTCCGCGAGAACCAATGAGGTTCATTCTCGCACATTTGAGCTTCCGCAAGAATGAGGTTCATTCTCGGGTGTGGCACGTTTGACATAGTTCATATTTCTATTTCCAAATGTAAAAAGGTGTTGCTGCTGGTTTATATTAAAAGTTGGAACAAAACTTCAAGCCTGCAGCTTTATAACCTTGTTCTAATGTAGAGTAGCTAGAACAAAACACCTTTTTTTTCAATTGACCCACGTCAAAAAAAAAGCTGTTAAGGCAAGTTGCATTGAAATTTTAAGTTTAAATTGTTCTTGTGTATAAAAGCACCAGCCACATGCATAACAAATGTGATTTGAAATATTTAGCATTGAATTAACTGATAGTTGACAAATGTAAAGATGAGTTGTATTCTGGTGATTAAATGTTCTCAGTAGCCTACATGTCGCAATAATCTTGTGTTTAAAAGCAAATATAAACAGTCAGCCTAATAAAAGCACAACAACTACAGTTTTACATGGATATTATGTAGCCTAGGCTATTTGAAAATGTAGGCTACAATTTCGAAATATAGCTGTTTTTGCTTTTTGTTTGTTTTTAGGCTACGTACCGAAGCATGAGTTGATGAAGCCGTACCACATGCAGCCGTTCCGTCCGAGTAGCCACCGTCCCCGCACACTGGACGCAAAGCTCAGGGTCGTCCCAAACAAACACACCAGCATGTCACTGACGCTAATGTTAAGAAGCAGCATGTTCACCGGCGTCCGGAGCATCTTGAATTTACAGAAGAGGACTAATACAATAAAGTTGTTGAAAAAGCCAAAAGTCATTATGAATCCGAGGAACACGGACAGGGCGATGAAGCCCGCGCGAGAGAGCGTCTCCACCGGCGAGTCGCTCCAGTCCTCGTCCAGAGGAGTTAACCGGTCTTCCTCGCTCATGTTAAAGCTGTAGTTCAAATCAGCCTGCTCGGAAAACATTCTTAGGAATAGTTATTCTGGGGCAGCGCTGGACATTTTTTTTTTTTTTTTTTTAGGGGAAATTCTCTAATCTAGCCGTATCTCCTTCAGTGAACACCTCAGCGTACTCCGGCGCATCAGCATCATGATTCAATTAGAAATGATGATGATGATGATGATGATGATGATTCTCATTGACAGCGCGCTTCACCTTTGAGAGTACTTGGACTTTTGAATATGACAGATGCGCTTCGCTTGAATCGAAAGAGACACGCACACTGACTAAGTACTGAGTAGATGTCTTCTAATTAAGGTCAGTAGGCTATCCATGACATAACCTATAGCCTATCTGACTGACTAAACGATTGTTGTTGTTTTTACGAGGTCGCAGAGCGCGCACGTGTCGCAGCAACGTACTGTGGTGAATTAATGTTGACCGTTTGATGTCCGTTATTGAGCTACTTCGTTTGTCTGCACATTGCATCCTAGAAGCAAAGCGTTCCCTTCTCAGTCCCAGCTGTCGTTCTGTATTCCAGCTGAGTGCGCGAGCTTTGCTGGACGCGCAACAGGAGTGTAATATAAAGGCATCTTGACGTCACGGGAACTGACTAACACACCAACCTACTTGAACAACTAAATTCTGTGCTCTATCTATATCTTAAAATATTAGCTACTGATACTCACCATAATGATGGTAAAAACAGAAGTGAAGTTCGTTAAACTAATTCCATGAACAATTAATAAACATCGATGTGCACAATATCAGCACCATGAGTGCAGGTAAGATCGAAATAATGCTTTAAACATTGATAAAGTAGCAAAGAATATAAAAAAGAAACAACTTAATGTAGCTATGTAACTAATATTAAAAAAAAAAAGTTGGCTACAATATCAAATCCCTAGTATTCACATATTTCATCCCCCAGGGAGCTCACATTGTTAGGGATCAGAATCAGTTTAAATGGCTATGGCTGTCTGGGGACTAAAGCCTTTCGCAGAGATTACTACCAGATGGATGCGCTTTCACTTATCCATTCAGCGTTTTACATAGATGTCAATGTAAAAGGAGAATCAGACAAAAGCATGGCCGAAAGCAGGGTTTTAGAAATACCAAGGTTCACGAGTGCTTTTTAAGACATCTAAAAGGGCAACGATTGGACAATAATGTTCAGCTTTAAAACCATGCCAGTCTTTTTGTTTCCATCTGTGTCAGTGAAAAAGAAGTAAACACTTGGTCGTGAAAAATTGAATTTGGGATTGCAATGACCGCATTATGTAAATCAGAATTTTCGGTGTACTATCCCTTTAAATGTTGAGCCAGCGATGGACATATCAATATATAAAGGTTGCAGCTGCAGGGCAACCTGTCACTCACATGAGATCACAGCAGCAAACCACAACCATCCAATCAATTTAAATTTCCGCCATACACTTTTTCTTGTTCAAGAAGTCGTTTTACTCGAATTTATGCAAGGGGGTAATCCATCAGCCGGAAGTTGAAGCCTGGCGGGAGCCGCCATTGTAGCAGAACTTCACCTGCTGTTAGCATTCCATTGACTCCCATTCATTTTGGCGTCACTTTGACAGCGAATTACTTTACATCTGAGGCGTCCAAAGACTCCATTTGTCCATTATTTATTTCTAAAGAAACACGACAATGTATAAAAGGCTCAATTACCTTGTATCTTACGTTATGGCCCATTAGAAGCAGTTTTTGTAAAAATAGGCTAACGATTGCGTCATAACGAATCGACTCTCCGTCGCACAATAGAGAAATTACCGTTTTATACAGGAGGAGAAGCTCGCAGGCAATCGGGGGGACGTGGAGGCATAAAGTCAAATAAGGTCAAGGGAGAAGCCCATAGAGAGTCATAAAGTTGATCCTGCTGCTAGCTCATGGACAGCTAATACTCACTCTCTCCGTCTCTGTGAGATTCGGAAGGGAATTATTCAGATTTCACTCGGCACAGCTACTAGAAGACATACAGGTTGCTCACGTGACAGGCTCAGTTTGAGCCTGTGCAGTACACCTGGCTATCAGCTTTTAACGGGCTTCAATTTTCTCCGTTGAAATCAATAGCATTTAAACGCTGTGTCCATTTCTTTTACTGTCTATGAATATATGTCGCAATAGAGAAGAAAAGACTATGGCAACTTCCGTATCATGCCGACTTTAGCTCCAATTGAGTTGTTTGAATCCCTGGATATTAACATTCTACTGTTGTAACACATTTGTCAAAATTAAACGTTCAGCTACTTACTTGCATCTTACATCTTGTAGAATTCACATTGATTGACCATCTCAGTACATTTGGAAATTTCTCAAATGAGAAAGTCAATAATCTTGTCATTGTACAAAATCTATCAATGTCTTAATAGGCAATTATTTCACAACTTTTATCTCGTAAAAATTACAGATGTCAGGACCTCAGGGACCTAAATGTGGGTATAGAGCGCCGTGAAGAGGAAGAATCTCAGGTCATTTGGTATTTTTGCTGCTTGTTTCAAATATTTGTAAGATGTATTCCTCTGTAAACAGAAAGATGTAGCCTATTTTTCCTTTATAGATGCTGTTTAAGGTATTTTTTTTTTTTTTTATTAAAGGTAGGGTGAAAAAAAGAATAAGACTTGAAATGTTTGCACTGACACTATCATATTTCAGAGAATACATTCAGCTCTAAGGAAAGAACATGTGGACAGAAATGCAGGTATGCTAAGAGATTAAACACAAAAGGAAATGGTTTTCACAGCATGTTGGTTTCTTTAGAGATTTAAGACTGACCCGCCTTAAGAGAATACATAACTTAGAACATATATTTAGTACTGGTGCAAGTATTGAAATAAACTGGAAATGCTCATGAGACATGATATAAGAAAAAAAATATTATACATATAGTGTTTTCCTTGTATATTTTGTGAAATATCAGTCAGTTACTGACTGAAAAAAAAATTGTGTTCTACCAGAAATGTCTAAACAACAATAAAACAAGATACATGTACTTAAGCAAAACTTGTGCAAACGTTTTTTTGCCCCATCTTTTCTCCGTGTGTTTCAGCATAAACCTCTTAAAATTAACATATCTATGATTAAAACAAGAAGAAAAAATGTGGGGAAAGAAAATGAAAAATTGATTCAAAGTATATTCTCTAAAATCAGGTTTAGGTCCAATATATTTATGCAATTTTGTTTTCAAGAAAATGTAAGGATTGTTTTAAGGATTTTTAGCTTTTTTTATGGTAAAAAAAAAATATTTACGCAGTGCTGTCAACATAAATCCATATATGTGTGCTTGTATTATTAGAGGCCAATGACATTTTGTCAATTTTTAACACCCAGGCCTCTATTGGAGATTCAAATCATCTCAGTTAGCAAGATGACAGATGATGTCATAAATTAATAAATAGTTTTTACTCAGTTTTTCAAAGACCTATCTATGGTCTTGCTCTGGCATACAGTTGTTGCTATTCTGTGTCATTATGGTTCTGTCTGTTTAGAACAGAGGCACAAATCATGAACTTGCAGTCATAAAACAGTCGCTGACCATTAAATGTCAATAGCTTTGTTTGTATTGGTGGCTTGTAATGCTTTAGTGTGATGTTCCTCTATAAATGCAGTCACCTTGTTGATTTTCCTAGAGAACATAAAGAACTGCCCTGCACTGGCGTCTCAAATAAAGCCTTTAAGCTGTGTAGTGAGCAGAATGCTCAAAAGATCAGAGGAGATCTCTTATCCCTTAAAACATAGAGACCAAACATGACCTCAGGGTGTCGTTTCTCACGCACACTCTCATGGAGAGTGTGAGCAATGTGCCATAAATCTTTAGAGTGGCAGAGTTCATGTTAATCATCCTCTTCTGAGGAGAACAAATAATGATTTTTTTCACAGTATGCACCATATGGCAGTGAAGAAAAGGACTGTTTCTATCTGTTATACATAGGAAAAGTAATGGCTGTTTTTTTAAAGTCCAGAAATATTCATTACTGTACAGTAATAATTTATACTTTACTCAAGTATAATATTTTGTTTAACCCTTAGATGCTATTAAATATTCGGGTCATTAGCAACACTGTCACAATTACCAGCTGGAGTGGCCTTGAGAACCACCAGGGGGCACTCATCACGGACTATAGTGTTCATAGCATTTCATCAAAGACTACATCCCCCATAATCCTCTACCGTTCCATTATCACTAAATGTCTACAGATGTGTATCATTTACTTGTTAGTACCAGCTTATATTTACCATGTTCACACTGTCATTCATTGCGAAGTCTTGTTATTCTGCATTTCTGAGCATTCTCCAACGCATTCTCATCCTTTGGCGTCATATAGGTGACGCCATATGACATTTCGTCGAAATCTTACGCACATGACATTTCGTCGAAATCTTATGCACATGGCATCCTCTAGCATTAATATAACACGCACTGTTATGGGTAGGTTTAGGTCTGGGGTAGGGTACGGTTATGACGCCTTGGGATCTGCGTCTCATATTCACGCTAAACGATGCCATGTGCGTTGGATTTAGACGCGCGTCACCTGTATGACGCCTTGGGTTCTGCGTCTCATATTGATGCTAAAGGATGCCATGTGCGTAAGATTTCAACGAAATGTACAAAGCGTCACATGTATGACGCCAAAGGATGAGAACGGGCTGGCATTCTCCCTGGTTTCATGTCTCTTGGTTCTTGGATTTGTGCCTGTTTCTTGGATTCCCCTTTCGCACTGCCTTCCTGTGCTTGACCCTTTGCCTGTATTTGGATTTCGATTCTGGATTACTCAATAAAAGCTGTGTTTGGATCTCAACCTTTGTGTCTCAGAGCAGTAAATGTAACAGACACAGATCTATATCTAAACGGATGGATCTCTACCTTTCACAATAATTATAAAACTCTCCTGATATTGCAATAACAACTACAGAAGAATAAAATAAAGCATATTTTGTTACCTTTTGGAGCTTGGTAGGGTTCAGTTTGAGCAGATGTTTTATATCATCGTCGCGGTCCTCATCAGTGCTCAGCATCTAATAATAATAATAATAATAATAATAATAATTTGTTACATTTATATAGCGCTTTTCTGGGTACTCAAAGTGCTTTACATGGAAGGGGGAATCTCCTCAACCACCACCAATGTGCAGCATCCACCTGAATGATGCGACGGCAGCCATATTGCGCCAGAACACCCACCACACACAAGCTTAGTGGTGGAGAGGAGACAGTGATGAAGCCAATCAGTATATGGGGATGAATAGGAGGCCATGATGGACAGAGGCCAAGGGGCAAATTTGGGATTTTTAATGACCACAGAGAGTCAGAACCTCGGTTTAACGTCTCATCCGAAGGACGGTGCTCTTTGACAGTATAGTGTCCCCATCACTATACTGGGGAGTTAGGACCCACACAGACCACAGGGTGAGCACCCCCTCCTGGCCTCACTAACACCTCTTCCAGCAGCAACCGGTCTCCCATCCAGGTACTGACCAGGCTCAATCATCTGGTTCATATTCACGATATCAAACATATTCTCAAAATTA